ATAATCTTGTATAGATTCTATTTGATAAAGAAAATAAAGTTATTTATAAAGATATTATTAATAATAAGATAATTAGAATACTTCTTTTAATACTATAATAAAAGTTTTTTAATTATCAAAAGAAATAGTATTATTATTAGTCTTATATTTATTGAAATACTAGTATAATGCTACATTAGTTAAGAAAGTGAAAACATATTATATTTGAATTTTCTTATTTATAATTTCTTGTATTAAAAATATAGTTTTAACTTGTATTATTCAGATAAATATATTTTTATTTAATTATTTAAAATAGATAGATAATTTTACTAAAAGATAAGATGAAGACTTAGAATTAGAAAGATTATCTTCTTTTATAATCTTAATCAATTTAGTTATGCTTTTCATAAATTATATAAATTATTCTATATTTATTTTGATAAATTTATTTTATTAAAACTAAAAAATATATATATGTAAAGTATATATAGTATATAATATATAAGATATTAGAGAATGATCTTTATAATAACTATATTTGCTATTATTAAGTTGTAAGATTATTTTATTAATAATTATAAACAAGATAAAATATAATATGAATAGTTTTAATTTTATAATTTATGATTATTTTTATTATTTAAAAGTATTCAGATCTAAAAATAAAAGTACAGAATAAATAGGTCTTATTTATAAGAAAAAAAATGAATATGAATATAAATAAATTAATAATAATTTATAATTAGAATATATATAAATTAAATAAAATTAATTAATTTAATTTACATTTTCAAAAAAAAACTAATCATAATTTAATAAGTAATAATAATTATAAATAATAATATAAATAATAAATAAGAAAAATAAATAAAAATATAAAGAATTATTAAAAGAAATATTTAATTAAAAAAATATTAATAATCTAAATTAGTAATATAAGTATATATAATGATTATCTATATAATAATATGCTAAATCTAATATATTAAATACATAATAATTATCTATATATTCAGAATAAAATTAATCTTCAAGAAAAAGTAATATAAAGCTAATTTATAATATAAATAATGCAAAATAAAGATCTAAACTAAAAAAAAAGATAATTTAATCAAAATTATACAATTAAATTATTTTTAAAGAGATTATTCAAGTAACTTTAATCTTTATAAGATAAAGATCAGATATATATATATTCTTATTATTTAATATTTTTTATTTGAAATATTTTTTTTGTCAAGTACTTAATTTTTATTACTTTATAAAATAATAAATAAAAATTTTTCAAGTATTATTATTTATATATTTGTATAAATTTTATTTTATCTAAATATTCATTACTAATAATCATTAATTATTATTAAAATTCTCTATTAGAATTTCTAAAAAATTATTTATATTAAAAAGATGATATTATTTTTTATTTGATATGAGTTTTAATATTAAAAAAATTATAATAATTAAAAATATAACAAAGATAATAATTAAAGATATAATAAAAATAATAATTAAAAATATAGTAGAGATAATAATTAAAGGGATGATAAATATGATAATTAAATCAAAAAGTAAAAAAATTTTTTTCTAATATTAAGAAATAATTCTCTTATCATTATATAATATTAATCATCTTTATCTCTCTCGACCAATCAGAATTTTATCCGCATTAACCAATCATAATCATGAATATTTCACGTGATTTATCTCCGTTCTACCTCCAAATTTGGAATTTGTTGATTTTTTTTCTTGACATGCATCGTGATCGGCATACTTGGCATACTAATTGGGTCTTATTGTCTGGAATCGGATATGAATATACATTTATCTCTTTTATCTACCGAATATTTAAATTACCCAGCCCTATAATAAAAGTCATGAATAATTCTAAAACTAACGGAATTGGTACTAGCAATAATACATGCAATACTAAACAAAAACCAAAACCAAAAGTATGGATAACATTAATAACAAAAGAAAACGATTATATTATCGGTGCAAAAGTTCTCGCATTTTCACTTCTTCGTGTCGAATCAAAATATCCACTAATGATATTACACACGAAAGCTGTGACTAAAAAAACACTCGACGAGTTTCTTCAGCTTAGGTGTCAATTACGACAAGTGGAACTTTTGGAACCTCCAAAAGGTGTGACACAAGAATTGGTTAATGGGTACAGTGAGACTTGGACCAAATTGCGTGCTTGGGAATTGATCGAGTTTGAGCGTGTTGTATTTTTGGACGCTGACATGCTGGTGGTGCGTAATATGGATGAGCTGTTGGATGATGAGGAATTGATAAAAGATGAAAATTGGTTGGCTGCTTCGAGTGCTTGTACTTGTAACCCAAAAAAAAATCCTAAATATCCAAAAAACTTGGTAAATATTTTAACGATCAATGATTAAATTTTTCTATGATTAAGCTTTTCTAATTGGATAATCTTGTTAATTTATAGGGTGCCCGAATCATGTGTATATACTCCTAAAACAGAATCTAGCAGCAATCCCACGATTATCCACTTTGAAGATTATTTCAACTCTGGAATGTTAGTTCTAAAACCCAACGATAAAATTTTCGCTTGCATGCTCAAAAAACTATACAATCATCCCAATCCAGACGCTTTAATATTTCCTGACCAAGATTTTTTAAATGAATTTTTCAATTCACATTGGGTTCGACTTCCGTACATTTATAATGCATTGAAAACCCTACGAAATTGCCACTCCTACATGTGGCATGACGATCAAGTGAAAAATGTTCATTATATTCTTGATAAACCGTGGAGAATTACCGATCGCGATTCCGCTGAAATTAAAACTAATGAGTTGAATTTGCGGTGGTTCAAGTGTTTTGACGAGATGAAGAAATATGAAGAATCTCATTCTCATAATAATATCGATTTGTCCCAGAGAAAAATTGTGCAGGAATTGTGATACGTGTATGAAACTTTTAGATTCAGATTTGTTCTCATTTTTATATAGTATTCAATAAATTTATACACAAAAGATAATATAACTTTAGTGTTAGCAATAATTTACCTTAAATCTAAAGTGCTATTTACATTTCTTATAGCTTCGCGTAGAAAATCATGTATTTCGACATTTATTTTTCTGATATAATAAAATTTTCTTTGAACATGTACATTGCAAAGATTTTTTTGATATCGAAAATTATGATAAAAATACCAAAGGTTACTAGGATCCCACATTACCATTTCACTGATTTACGATTTTGTAGTTCTTGGTGTCTAAAATTCGATCTTTTGCTAACGCTAAAGACAGCGCATGATTGGTTTAATTACATAGTGCAGGTGATATAATGGCAAGATAAAAAATAAATGTTAATTTCTTTAGGGGAGGGCCAGAAATTACGTGAATAAGATAAGGGCACTGAGGCGGGGGTCTGTAGTATTCCGGAAAAGAGCCTGGTTCGGTTCGAGCTCAACTCGAACCGGGAAAAAATTTCGAATTCAGAGCGGAAAAAATAGTTCGAAAAATTTCAAAATCGAACTCGAAATTTGGGTAAGTGTAATAATAAAAAATTATAGCCCTAAACAAGAGCTGTAATTTTACTTATAAGTGTAAAATACATTAGCTATTCAAAATTTTGACTTTAACTAGAAGAACTATAATATTTTTATTTGAATAATTATAATTTATCAACATAAATACAATATATCTCCATAAATAGCAATATTTTATTATAGAGTATCTTAATGAAAATTATATTTCTAACAAGGACTATAATTTTGCTTATAAAATTAAAATACATTTACTATAAAATATTTGGCTTTAATCAGATAGAACTAAAATATTTTTATTTGAATAATTATAAATAATAATATTTTATTATGAACTATCTTAATGAAATTTGTAGTATTAGATAAGAGATACAATTTTATTTATTATTATTTTGTATAGTTCTTATTAAAGGTTATTTTAATTCTTAAATAAAATATAATTTATTTTAAATATCAAATATTTTAACAGATAATATTTTTTGTTATAATAATATCTTATATAAAATTGTAACCAGAATTCAGATTATAATTTTATTTAGAATTACTTTAGTAATTTGATTCAAACTTGAATCAACTTAAACTTAAACTAAATTTGAACTTAAAAAATCTATTTCAAGTCTGATTTAATTTTTTGAATTTATTTTAAATCTAAGATCAAGTTTAATAATTAAATAATTTAATAATTTTTATTATATTATTAAATTTTATTAAATAAAATTCTTTTATTATATAATATTAGAATTTAATTATTATTTTAATAATAAAATTTCAAAAACTTTATTATATATTATATCAAGTAGAATTTTTATATGATTTTATAATAAATTATTAATTTTAATTAGATATTATTATATCAAGAATATCTTTATATTAATAAAAAATAATTAATATAAATATATAAAGCTTTATTCTTAATATTCTTAATAAATAAATATAATATAATATTTTTAAAAATATAAAATAAATTTACTTATTAAGAATTATAAAATAAATTAATTTATAATTATAATAAATATTATATATTTTTATAAAAAATAAATTTCTTAAGCTTATAAATATAATTTTAGATAAAACTTTTAATAATATTTAAATGAAATATTACTTTAATAGAAATGAGTATTTTAGAATAATTATTAAATATATAAAAATATTAATAATAAAAGAAGAAAATAAAAATTAGATTTTTAGTTATATAATATTTATTTATTT